TCCCTTCTAGTGGGACCAGAAGCCAATTAGCACTCTGGTGCTTCGCTGCTGTTGCCAGAGGCCCCATGCATAGCCCTCAGAGGTAACATGTATATCCAAATGACATGCCTGAGATTGATCTATGACCCCAGTGCTTGCACAATCTTTACTGTTTGTTTAGCAGCCTTAAAGGCCTGGTCAGTTTCTCCCCGCCAATCCCAGGTGGCTCCTTTGTGGGTTAGGCGATATAGAGGGCACATTGGCTGAGCTAAGTGTGGTATAAAAACCTGCTGATATCCTAACAACCCTAAAAATTCCTGTAATAGCTTTGGCTTTTGGGGAATGGGGAATGTTGAATCTTATCTATAATGGCAGCAGGCATCACCTTTGTCTTACCCTACCAAACAACACCCAAGAATTTCACAGACCATCCAGGTCCCTGGATTTTGTTGGAATCTGCTGCCCATCCTCAGCCAACAACAGAGGAACAGAGTGTTCTAACTCTGTAAGAGAATCAGAGGTTAGCATGATGTCATCAGTGTAATGATGCAGTTTCATAGAGGATGGTGTAGTCCATGCAGCCACAAGTCCATGACAAACAGTAGGGCTATGCAAGTAATCCTGGGGCAAAACAATAAATGTCCACTGGTGGCCTTCCAAGGTGAAGGCAAACTCATCCTGGCTATTGGGATGTAAGCCTATTGCGAAGGCATTGGCTAAATCTAATACATAGTGGTATGTGCCCAGCTCATGGATAAGTTGGTCTAGGAGGCTAGCTATGTTAGGCATGGCTCCAAAGATAGAAGGAAATTACCTTATTTCGTTCCCTACATCTACAGTCATATGCCATGCTCTATCTGGTTTTTGGACTGGCCACACAGGTGAGTTGTAAGGGCTGTGTGCCAGTCTAATGATATTCTCCCTAGCCAACTCTTCTGTGGTCTCCCCAATTTCCTTACGGCCATCTGGGAGGAGGTATTGTTTGGTGGCCACTACTCTATGGGGAGTGGGAGGTGACACATGGCGGTGTTTGGCATGCCCCCTCCCTAAAAAACAGCCTTCACAACCCGTATTCAGAGGCGAAACTCACCCATGGTGGTCTATAAGTACATGCTGGCTAGAATGTCAATTCCTAGGACATACTCTGGAATAGGGGAAACATATGCCTTATAGAGGCATGGTGGTAAATGCTCTATCTCAAGGGTTAATGTCACAGTTCCCATGAATAGATTGTCCTCCACAGCCATCAGTGACATTCTGGGTCCTCTAAACCTTTCTGAATTACCATAACTAAGAGTACATTTTGTACCAGTATCAACTAAAGCCAACACTCTTTGTACAATCATTGGGGACCAATAAATAGCAAGTTGTACATGTGGCCTCCAGTCCCCACTGGATCCCTGTAAGCAGGTCCCTAGGCGAACCCCCTGTGCAAAGGTCCCTCCCCATGGGCCATCCTCTGGGTGGCCCATGGGGAGGGACCTTTGTAACAACTCTACAAGGGTTGTTACAAAGGGACCCAGTAACAACTCTACAAGTGGAGCAACCATAAAGTTAACGAAACAGGGTGTTGGCTCTGGGGGTGCCGATGGGACTGTCTTGTTGGACGATGTCCATTCCACCATTTGCACAGATATCACTATAGGCTGGAACTGTTGCTCAAGTTTCAGTTGCTGCGATAGGCTTACAAGGACACAGTTGGGCTTTTTGGTTATTTTGTCTCTGCCTGCCCCATCCTTTACCAGGTCATTCCATAGCTGTTTGCGGATTAGCTTCACATGGGCCTTTCTGCTTATGTTTCACAGTTAAATTCTCTCCTTTTTTTCCTTCTTTGTCCTTTTTTTCTACAGGTCTTATTCTTTTCTGTGTCTCAGTAATGCTACCTTCCTTAAGTCACCAACTGTCTGTGCTACTTCCTGTACATAATCACCCACCTTGGTGGACAAAATAGGTATCAGGGTGCCAAAGTAACTCAGAGGCGTTGTCTGCAAAACCTGATCCCTCATTCCTGTAGTAAACCTCTCCATATCTGGCCCATTAGACTGTGGGTTATAGATGGTGTGTCCCATGCCTAGTTCCCGGATGAACTGCTAGAGCTCCAATAAACTGGTCCAGCGTGGATTAGAAGAGGGTAGAGCTTCCTCATTAGGCCACACTGCTCTGCAGTCAGCCATTGGCCACAAGAGAAAGGTATCTTGAGTTCCTGCCCCATGGATCCTAAAGAGGGATGGGTGGTGACAGAAGACATATATTTCAAATCATCCCCAGTAAGCAAAGTGCCATCAGCCCCTGTTTCCCACAGCCACACTAGCCACCATGCAATTGATTCAAACATCCCTGTCTGAAGTTTGCAGCCAGCTCTACTATTTTGGTGGGGGTATGTGGGTACACCGTGGTAAGCAAGGTCTGCTGGGAAGGTGGCACTTAAACATCCTGTGGCACTCCTGGCTGTTGGGTCTTAATCTTCTGGGTCATAATAGGATGAGCCACAAACTTTCCTTCTCCTACTTTCATATCCTTCCCGTCCTCATCCACAATGATCTCTCCATCTAGTCACTTTCACTTTCAGTGTTAGGATCCCACTTGCGGGAATTCCAATCATACTGTGCCACAATTACTTGTATATGGGTGGGTGCTAGTTAGCCCCCACCCACCCTCCCATACCCTGGCAAGCTGTATGCTAGGTCCTGCAATTGCTCAATGGTCTTTTCTAACTCTCTCGCTAGGATGTCCATATTCTCTGCCGGTAAAAGACACATAGCCCTTTCTAGTTCCAGTCTCTCTTCTAAATGCACAGTGTGTGCCTCTGCCTCTATCTGCTTCTCATTCACATTCTGCAGCACTGGCCGCATCAGCCAAACAAAGGCAGTGGTAACATGGCAGAGGTTTTAATTTTTCCCTAGGGTGCAATACACTCCTGCACACTGCAAGGCCTATAGGATGCCAATGGGGGTTTCAGAGGTGACCCCTAGTCCTGCAGTGATCCCCATTCCAAGAAGGTCTGCCACCTCAAACTACACAGAATTTTCTGGCCAGCCCAGGATTCCCCCCGACCCCAGCAACCCCCAAATCAGCATAGTGTTGTCCACGGTCGACTAAACTTGGGGATTTTTTGGAGTATCCGAATCCTGCTGCCTACACCAAATGTAATACAGGTCAAGCCTGGGGATCTCAACCACTTGTTTGGATAAACTGAAAAACCACAAGGAGGACCTCATAGAGCAGACATAGCCTTTATTACCCACATTACAGGGAGCACCTATGGCAACAAATTGGCAAAGCAGGACAACCCCCTAACCCCCCGACCCCCGTCTAAGGCTCATTATAAGGGGCTCTAGACAAAGGTGTCATGGGTCCAAGTTGCACAAACCTGCATGTGGTCTATAACCACAGTACATCAGTGTGTACATGCAGGAGGGAAAGGTCACAAGAAGCAGTCACTGGGCAGGAAACCCATCCTCAAGGAAGATGAGGGAACTACATTCCATTCCTCAGGACAATATACATTCCTTCTGGCCAGGGGTATGGGCCATGTCCAGCATTAACCCCACACTACCCCATTTATCTATAGTAGTATAAATTCTTTCAAAGCAACTTACATCTTTCTTCCCCAAACTTGCAGTATAAAGGAGACCAGCAACTCCAGTATCACAAACATGTTTGTCTTTTCCACCTATTCCTGCTGCTGGTGATTCAGATGGCATACCCCAGGACCTGGTCCTATTCTGGCTAGTATTTGGCTCAATAAGCCCTCTCTTTCAGAAAAGCTTTTGGCTGTGAAAGTTTCTCATTTAACACTCCCAAATCAGATAATCCAAAATCATTTCTATTTAGCTTTACAAAAACAGTTTATCTTCTTAATAAGTTTTGCATTGGCTAATATAATACTGCTTGCTTCTCTTATGCTGATTGACCACTGTAAGGAAATACCTACCGGAGACATAATATTTGGCATGAAGAAACCACCCTGGAGTTCTGAATAGTTTAAATGTGTTATCCCTTCAAGGGTGCTGTTTCAGAGTCCTATGGAAAGGATGAAAGAAAGGGGGGAAAGGAGGAGATGTAACCAAATAGGAAGTAAGCAGTCAAGATTTGGGAGGGGTAAGCAAAACATTACTGGATAATTGTGCCTTTTAATGCAAACTGTCTTTGATTAAGAGCCAGAAAACAACTGAGTTTAAGGGCAGAGCACAGAACAGTGGATTTGTTGGACATATGAGGGTGGGTTTTCAACTTAACATAAAAATGAACTTTTCTATTAATAGAGCAGCTCATTCAGAAAGGGTGGGCTTGTGTGACTTGTGGTTCCCCAACACTGGCTGTGTTTAAGCCCAAGTGGCATTATCTTGTGAGAAAAGTAGTAAACATATCCTTCAGTTTGAAAATTGTTATTAAAGCTTACTCTGTACAAAACATGTGCTGAATAAGAAGAGGAATCAAATTGAGATATTCTCTCTGCCACTTGTTAAAGCTGTGTTCCTTACACTTCAATGTGTACACACTTTCCCCTAGGGATACTGTTAAAATGCAGATTTCAGTTCTATAGGATGAGACCCAAATTTTGCATTTGGAACGAGCTCCTAAGTGAGCCAGTGATGATGGTCTGTGTAACACATGTTGAGCACAATGGTTGCAAGTAGGGAATGAAACACTCATATAACTATAATACAGAGTAGGACTTATTAAATGCCACTAATTATCAGTAAAGGCCTGAATTTGTATCAAACCCAGGGCTGTCTTTGCCCTTTTCTGCCTAGTATTCCTTCTGTTGTTTTTGTTGTTGCTCTCCTTCTTGAATTTAGTTTCTTTGAGGGTTGCTCATTGCATATATTATTTCTTAGCTTGGAATAGCTTTCTCGTTCTTTTTAGACTGACATTTTACTAAATTAAGGTTTATCTCCTGATCACTCCTTCCCTGGGCCCGCAGTTGGGCTGAAGGTTCCCTAGAGCACGTCAAGTGTTAACCATGAGCAATCCAGCCTTAAGTGGGAAGTCCGGTTTCTTATTCTCTCCAGAAGCCCACCTTTCAGGATCGCCCACTACAAGGAAACTGGTGAGGAGACCAGGAAGAAAGCAGCGCCACTCCTTCTGTTACTGAACACCAGAGCCAGGGTGGCAGCCTCAAGTGTCATTCGGAGCTGTCATTCGTGTCCTCTACACGGCAGGCCTGGGGACTCAGCGAACCATTCCCCGGAGCAGTCTCGCAAGCTGGTGGCTCCAGTCCAGCCTGTAACTGACTACAGGCGAGCGCCCTAGCCAGGCCGGGGAGCCTGCGGTGGGCTGTCCGTCACGGGGTGGGGGGGGTGGGGGGGGTGGGGGGGGTGGGGGGGGTGGGGGGGTGGGGGGGGTGGGGGGGTGGGGGGGGTGGGGGGGGTGGGAGGGCGCGGCTAGGGAGGCTGACGGTGCAGGCGCAGGCGCAGGCGCAGCGCTGCGCAGCGCCCCTAACAAGCGGGAGTCGGTCTGCAAGGCTGGCCGTGTAGCCATTTTAGGAGGAAACCGGGCTTGCTAGCCTTGGGCGCGGTTTCAATTTCAATAACTTTATTGGTGGCCTTATCATCAGAACACCCAACGCACCGGCAGCCGGGGGAGGAGGGAGCTCATTGCAGAAGGTGATTTGAGCGTGGGCGTGGGCGTGAGCATGGGCATGCAGGGGAGTCCCCGAAAGCGGGTTTCCTGAGCAGCGGGTAGCGGACGGGTTTCGGGGTTCCCCGCGTTCCTGGCGTTCCTGGAGGCTCAGGAGGGAGAGGAGACGGGGCACGGCTTCCCGGCGGCGGGGATTCCCTTAACTGGGTCTCCAGACGACGGGGCGGGGACAGGGGTGCCTCTGACTCCGCCCCCGGGGTTTTTTTTTGTTGTTGTTGTTTTTTTGATGCTTGTTGTTCCCCACGGCAGGTGGTCTCCGACTGGAGCTGCAGCCATGGGAAACACCGCGAGCGACCGGGTGGCAGGGGAACGCCATGGCACTAAGGCTGCACGCGCTGAGGGCGCCAGCGGCCATGGCCTGGACAGGGAGCATAAGATCATGGTGGGCAGCACAGATGACCCCAGCCTCTTCAGCCTACCGGACTCCAAGGTGAGCGTCCTCACGCCCCTAGTTGGTGGCGGTTCTGCAGCAGCCTGAGTGTCAGGGTTCCTCCTCCCTTTTTTAGTTCTTATCACACTGACCTGGGGTTACGGCTTCTTGAATTAAAGGGATTTTTCGGGAACGAGGATGTTGGATGGCAATTCCTCTTGCAGTACTGCCTCAAAATAGAAGTAAAAGGTTTTTTTTTTTCCGACTAATCTGTTACCCACATTTTCAGGATGAGGACAGTAGGACCCCCCCCCCCCCCGCCTCGCCCCGCCCGGCCCCGCCCCGATCTTGGTTTCCCTAACAGGCAGAGTGTCCTCTTCTAGAGTATTGATGGATATATAGGTTGTAAGCACTGGTGGAAAACTTCAGTTTCTCACATTTGCCCTGAGGTGGGCAAATGAAAGTTTTTTTCCCTGACAACTTGCACGTGTCAGTATCTTTTTTTGACCTTTTTAGAGCTCAGCACTTCTGATCCTTTTCCCCTTTGGCTTGACTGTAAGCAACAACCACTTGCTTATTTGAATACTTTCTCTTAGCCTCAGAGATCAATAAAGGACATCGCTGCTCAGTTTTTGTCTCATATTCTATAGCAGTGGTGGCTAAGGCTGTGCTTCTTTCGCAGTGGCAGAGCAAGTAATTCCAGGATTTCTCCATTTCCCAGTAGTACTTGATAATGTTACCATGGCTGAAAACGACCACCCATAGCCGCTCAGAAGACCGCTGTAGAACTGAGACCTTGGTCTCAGTTCCAAGGACTTTCAGGAAAACAGCACCTTGTGTTCAGTCTACAGAAAGGCTAAAAGGATCTGACAATGTGATTACCATTCAAATATTTCTAATCACTTTTACAGCTGTTAGCATTAAATTAAATGCATTAAGGCCAACTGGAATGAAGTAGAAAAATGGAGGGATTGAGGAGGTTGGAATGTGTTTGATGTTTCTTATGTCTTTCACAAAGTAAATAGAGAATGATTTTCCAAGTTGGTAGCACATGGAATTTGGTTATTTTCTTGGATCCCAGCTGAGAATGTAACCAGAGAGAGGGGGAGTGAGGATGATAAAATGACCCTTTTGGGGGATTTCTTCTCTGTTCCTTTCTTCTCCCACTTCAGGACTTCTTTCTCATCATTTGGACTGTCCACCCAGCCATCTGAATTTACTTTGTCAAGGTGATCTACCTCACTGTATTTTTACCCTTTTCTTACATTGATGACTCAGGACTTAAGTACAGTGCAGTTGTCAAACCGTGACTGCCGTATTCCGTGTCCTGAATAAAAGCCAGATTGCTTTTCTGAAATGGAGCCTATTTTGGATCATTCTTTCCTTTATCTCAGTCTTGCCATTTGTGAAATAATAAAATTGGTTCAGGTAATTCCTAAAGTCTCTTCCAAATCTAAGATTTTATAGTTCTCAAACTATTGTCTCTACTTTTTCTCTCAATGTTTTACTTAAACATTTCAAACTGTAATTCTAATTGTTTTGTCTCTTTTCCTGATGACTTTGCTGACTATTTAACTTGGAATAAACAGTCTTTCTGCTAGTTAGCTGTACTCCTGCTAACACAGGAGTGTATGTCATACCTGGAAGGGCTTCCTTCCGAAGCTTAGGCATATCAGTAGTTTGTAGCTTTCAAATTTTAAATCGGAAATCCTATATCATAAGAGTAACTGATAGAAACAGTGGTAGTGAGGCCTGTGTTGCTTCCAGTGCTTGCCTTCTTCAGTTCTCAATTCTGTTTGCATGTTAAAATCACCTGAGATTTGTTTAAACACTTTATGGAAAATTTGAAACATTTTTCATGTTTCAAAGTATAGCGAGAAAAGTCTAATGAATTCCTGAATACCTGTCACCCAGTTTAAACAATGATCAATTCATGAATGAATTTATTTCATTTATACCCAATTCACTCCCATGAATTATTTTGAAGCAAATTCTAGACTTACTAAATATTATTTTATCTAAATATTTTAGAGTATATCTCTAAAGATGAGGGTTTTTTCTTTGTTTAATATGTCATAGCATTATTATATGGGAAACTTAAAGAGATTCCCAGGCCCTATATCTAATTATAATCTGAGGATTCTTAGGCATATGTTGAAATTTTTGTAATGCTGTAATGTAGCCTGTCCAACAAGAGTGCATTGCTTTAAGAATATGGAGATCAGGTTTTCTCTTAAGCCACTAATACAATGAGAAAGTCCCTTCAGTTCTCTTTCTGTGTTTACCTCGGATTGTGTTGCTACTGGTGTCTGAGTGCAGTTTCAAGGAATAGTGAGTGGCAGTGTGGAAGGTAGAATACCCCAGCCATTTTGAAAATAAAGCCCAAATGAATAAGCCATTCCTATGTTTAAACCCAGTTTATTTTATTTGGTAATATTTTGACTTGATACTGTACAGTCTTTTTTATGTATTTACCAACATCATTTAAGCCAATGCAAAGTGGATATCAGCAAACTTTTTCTGTAAGGGGCCAGATACTAAATGTTTTAAACTTTATGGACCAAAGAGTTTCTTAAAACTACCCAATTGTGCCACTGTAGCATGAAAGTAGCTGTAGATACTAAGTAAATAAATAACTGCCATTTTCCAATAAAACTTTATGTAAGTATCTGGCTCAGTAGCTATAGCTTGCTAATTCTTCTTGTAAAGAATGGTTTGTGGTATAGAGACTATTCCAGACATAACCTCTGTCTGACCCGCCAGCTAGATCCACCTCCATCCAGGCCAGAACAAAGATTGCTTCCTATAAATCCCCTCAGACGCTTTCTGATCGACACCTGCCCTATGCCCCAGATGTGCTGGTCCCTGGAACAGGCCATTGTCCTGCCCTGGGCAGGCACTAAGGCTGTTTCCCCTTATCTGGGGCAGCTCTTGCCCCAATACCTCTGTCCATTCTGCTCTGTTCTGCATAAGTCTTTAGTGTCTGCTCTACCAGGTTTGAATATATCCACATTACTGTATCTTGCTGATGCCCAAGATATGAGCCTCATGTTAAGTTCCCTTAATAAACTCTTGATGTAGTGATGGCATTGTCGGCGTCTTCAGTCTCTCAGCGCCAGGAAATTACCCCAACATGGTAATGAAAAGAAACTATGTAAGGAGTCAGTTTTTAGAATCCTGCAGACCTCACTTAATATTAGAACTGCTTTTGTTGAAGGAAGTTGTGTTTTTGATCTGATGTTCCTTTAGGCTCCAGAAATTTCATTCATACTCTTGAAATAATTAGTATAAATCTGACATAGGTGAGCAGATAAGGTTTCATAATCACTACTGAAAATTTAAGAAACCAATGATTTGGTTTTTATATTTTTAATGTCCTTTATAACCTATTAGCTAAAATTGAGTTATGAATTTCAGTATCTCTAACTTCCATTACAATGATAATTAAGAGCTTTTCATGCCTGCATGTGAAAAATATTTGGCTAACTTAATTAGTTTTATAGAGCCATACTTTGTTTTTACATTTTTTCCTCTTAGGCAATCAGAAGCATATCATAGTCGCCTGCCTGTGAGTGAATGTGATAACAGGAAATAGACTTGGAAGTTAGGACGTGATTTGGGCAGCCCTTGAACATAAGCCATTTGACCACTTTGGTTCTAGATGAGTTGTTTTTCTCTAGTCTGTTCATAACTTTATTTAGTTGCTAATTTCAGGGCTCATTGATCCTTAGCAGAAACCTAGCACCCCTCTCTGCCCTAAGGAGGAGAGTGACCTTTTAAGAATTCATGGGTCACAATTTAGGGATGACCTAATCCTTCTTACAGCTCCCTGGGGACAAAGAGTTTGTGTCATGGCAGCAGGATTTGGAGGACTCCGTAAAGCCCACACAGCAGGCCCGGCCCACTGTTATCCGCTGGTCTGAAGGAGGCAAGGAGGTCTTCATCTCTGGGTCCTTCAACAATTGGAGCACCAAGATTCCACTGATTAAGAGGTGAAGGCAAGCATCTTGATTGAGTCTGCAGAGTCCAGGAGTAGAAATGTGGCTGAACCACTCCTCTCCATCTGCTAGGGCCAGATACTAAATGTTTTAAACTTTATGGACCAAAGAGTTTCTTAAAAGTACCCAATTGTGCCACTGTAGCATGAAAGTAGCTGTAGATACTAAGTAAATAAATAACTGCTATTTTCCAATAAAACTTTATGTAAGTATCTGGCTCAGTAGCTATAGCTTGCTAATTCTTCTTGTAAAGAATGGTTTGTGGTATAGAGACTATTCCAGACATAACCTCTGTCTGACCCGCCAGCTAGATCCACCTCCATCCAGGCCAGAACAAACACGCGAGTATTTTCTGTGACCAGTGACTATATCTTCAACTTTTTTTTTAATCTCATAGTGAGTGAGGGTTATTTTACCACTGAGGTATTTTACCACTCAGAGGCATTTACAGCTTTGTGGGTACATTTTTTAGGACTCTTAATTCAAGTCCTTTCTATCCTTGTAGCAAGTATTCTATAAATAGCTGAATCTAGTTGCTCTGATTTCTACACTAAAACAAAACATATTATGAAGTTCTAGGTCATAGTATTATTTGTTGCCTGCAGAACAGTAATAAATTATTTAACTGGTAATCAGAAAGTCCTGCCTATCAGTATGTAATTTTCCAGAAGATGCTCATCAAGATATGGAAGGGTACCTGGAGCCACTTCAGTATCCTGAACCTACTGGTATCTTTCTTATTTACACTTGTGAGGGATCTGTTCTGCTGATAGCAAAATAGTTGTATTAAGGTGAACCATTTGGGGAGAGTAAAATCTTTATTCTTTTCTAGATGTTAGTTAAGGACTAAAATTATTGGGAGGGGCTGGCAAATACATGCTGAACGTGATATAGGAAAGGAAACTGGGCTTATACATTACTTTTTTACTCCAGGGGGTACAATTGCTTAGCAATGTGAGAGATAACTGGTATATTTTGATAGCCTCATGGTTTCTACATTTACATTCTGTCTTCTGATAGGAATTTGGCCTGTTTAATTTTCTGTTTTCTTCTGTAGCCATAATGACTTTGTGGCCATCCTAGACCTCCCTGAGGGAGAGCACCAGTACAAGTTCTTTGTGGATGGACAGTGGGTTCATGATCCATCAGAGGTAAGGCCTAGATCTCTGAGGGTAATCACCGACTTCACAGTCTCATCTTAGCTATTATTCCCCTTCGTATCAAACTTCATTGCTGTCGGGATCCATCCATAGGCAGCAACTCTCCTGCACTGGAGGATTTCTCTTGATAAAAGAGGCAGTGAATATGATCATATTTGAAAAGAGGAGAGTTGAGTGGAAGAGATGGATATGAAACAGGGACTCATAAATTTTTCCCATTCACTGTTTCAGCCTGTTGTTACCAGTCAGCTTGGCACAATTAACAATTTGATCCATGTCAAAAAATCTGATTTTGAGGTATTTGATGCTTTAAAACTAGATTCAATGGAAAGCTCGGAGACATCTTGTCGAGGTAAGTTTGTAGTATTTGCTCTTTCTTGATGTATTTCTCTAATAATGCATGTTCCTTCTCAAGAGTGGTTGTTTTTTTAATTTTCTCCTGAAGAATCTTCTAAATTATATACAGGATAGGTTAAAAGTAGGTTTACAGTTGTGAGTACATGAAACAGAGTTTATTCTTATATTATTTTTTCTTTTTTTAATATATTTTATTGATTGTGCTATTACATTTGTCCCATTTCCCCCTTCCCTCCCCTCCACCCTGTACCCCCTCTCCCACCCACGTTCCCCCCCTTTAGTTCACGTCCATGTGTCATTCTTATGAGTTCTTTAGCTTCTACCTTTCCCATACTATTCTTGCCCTCCCCCTATCTATTTTCAACCTACATTCTATGCTACTTATTCTCTATACCTTTTCCCCCCCTCCCCTCCTCCCACCCCCCTGCTGCTAGCCCTCCATTTCTGTGGTTCCGTTCCTGTTCTAGTTGTTTACTTAGTTTCTTTTGGTTTTGCTTTAGGTGTGGTTGTTAATAATTGTGAGTTTGCTGTCCTTTTACTATCCATGTCTTTTCTTTATCTTCTTTTCTTAGATAAGTCCCTTTAGCATTTCATAAAATAAGGGCTTGGTGATGATGAACTCCTTTAACTTGACCTTATCTGAAAAGCACTTTATCTTCCCTTCCATTCTAAATGAGAGCTTTGCTGGATAAAGCAATCTGGGATGTAGGTCCTTGCCTTTCATGACTTGGAATATTTCTTTCCAGCCCCTTCTTGCCTGTAAGGTCTCTTTGGAGAAATCAGCTGACAGTCTGATGGGAACTCCTTTGTAGGTTACTGTCCCCTTATCTCTTGCTGCTTCTAGGATTCTCTCCTTCATTTTTACCTTGGCTAATGTAATGATGATGTGCCTTGGTATGTTTCTTCTTGGGTCCAACTTCTTTGGGGATCTCTGAGCTTCTTGGATTTCTTGGAAGACTGTTCCCTTTGCCAGATTGGGGAAGTTCTCCTTTATTATTTGTTCAAATAACTTTTCCACTTGTTGCTCCTCCCCTTCTGGTACCCCCTATAATTCGAATGTTGGAACATTTAAAGGTGTCCTGGATGTTCCCAAGGCTCTCCTCGATTTTTTGAATTCTTATTTCATCATGCTTTCCTGCTTGATTGATTCTATCTTCCTTCTGGTCCATTGTATTGTTTTGAGACTCAGATACCTTCCTGTCTCTATTGGCTCTCCTCCGCGTATCTTCCTGCATCTCTTTTATGGTAACCTGCATCCTTTCATCTAAATTGCGCCCAAAATCAACCAATTCCGTGAGCTTTCTGATCACCAGCGTTTTGAACTGTGCATCTGATAGATTGGCTATTTCTTGGTCGCTCAAAAGGATGAGTCCTGGGGGACTGATCTGCTCTGTTGTACACATGTCTTATGTCTTTCCCTGTCTCTATTTTTTTTTTCCGGTCTGGTTGCTCTTGTTAGGGTGGGGGGCGGAGCCTTAGGTGTTCACGGGGGCTGGGTGCCCCAGTCGCTAGATTGTGATGTTATATGTGGGGGCGGGGGAGGGAGCGGGGATGGGAGGGAATCAATGGCCGCAGTTCAGTTCTCCTGGGCCCAGACCCTTTCCCGGGCTCCTGGGCTGCGAGCTCTGCCCTGGTCCACAATCGCTGCCCCACTGGATCCGGCAGCCGCAGCTTGCGTACTCAGGGATCACCGCTGCGTTCTTGCGCCCCGGATGGCTGTCACGCCGATTCCATGCCAAACTTTCCCTGACCTCCGCACGCCGCCGACCCGCGGCAGCCCAGTGCCCGCTCGGCTTGTCGTCTCCTACCAGTCTGGATGTACGGGTCTACTTCAACTTCTTGGCTGTCCGACTTCCATTCAGATAAATCCTCTATCAGTTCTGTGTGTTATGCTGACCGTAATTTATTGTTGTTCTAATCTTGGTTGTGTGAGGAGGTATGGTGCGTCCACCTATTCCTCCATCTTGCCGGAAGTCTATTCTTGTATTATTATTAATTAATTATTGTATTGTTTTCTGTACAAACACTTGTAAACTTGCTTTTTGCCTCATACTGTATAATTCAGTAAACACTTAGGTCTCTTTCTCTGAGACAAAAAAAATCTCAGTTTAGAGTATTTGATTTCAAATTTTTTAACCAGGATATACGGGAAGATTTTTGTTTTACATTGCAACCCAGCACACACACACACACACACACACACACACACACACACAGTTGTAACACAAGTCTTATAGAACAGTGTTTGCCTTGATTACATGTGATGCACTCTATTTTCTATTTTATCCTTCTTTGTTTAGGTTACTAATGGCTTATGTCCTACAGTTTAGAAAGCTATTTCGAATATTTCAAAGTTTTCATTGACCTTGATGGTGGTATCATCCAGCAGAGGCTGGGTATTGTCTGGTTTGCCCTGTTTAGCTGCGTCAGCTTCACCCTGCCAGATGCTAGCTCAGTTGGCAGTTCTGCAGTGCTATAGGACCCCACAGCTGTGGTAGTCTTTCGGGAAAGGGGGGTAATAAAAATCCCACAAGTCTTTTGTGTGTATGTTAACTGAAATTTTGTATTTTGATTTTGAAAATATTCCTTGGGAGAGTAAAAGATCTGTATCCTTTTGTTTCTCCCAATATTAGTTTTTCCAAGGCCTTCATCTCTATTTGCATTTGCTGCCACACCAGAAGAGTGGTTTGCTAACCACACTCACAGTTACTATTTTGTTACTTTACAGTAAAGGTGAGAACTGTGTGCACTGTGTTTCTAGTGAACATGCTTCTCCCTTTTGGGTTCAGAGCCTGCCTCTGCTCCTTACTAGCTTCATCATTGCAGACAAGTCCTTTAACTTTTTTGGTTCTCAGTTCCTTATGAGTAAAACTGGAGACTTATATTCTCAGTGATTCTCAGCTGACAATACAAAGTACCTTAAATGGGGCATATTAGAATCTCAGGGCAGTTTCCAAAAGAATAATCAATAGTATTTTTGTTTGTTTAGAAAAATTGTAAAACTATTGTTTTCATTATATAAGCTCAGAAAGTAAAGCTAAATATTCTTCTTGGATGGTGGGGCAGTGATTAAAAATGCTTCAGAAATACTGAGTTAAATCATGAGGCCACATACGACTAAATTTTTGCATTACATGATTCTGGCAAAGCAACCAGTAAATAGTAGACATACAATCATAATAATATAGAGAGAGGACTAGCATACTTTTGATCTTTCTTCCATCTTCACCCAATTTCCTGATCCACTGAAGTAAGGTTTAGAATATGTTTTATTAGGAATCTGAGACAATGGGTTTTAATCTTCACTCAATAACCATCTTAACTGTGGATGTGACTTTAGGCAAATCACTTAACCAATTTTCTTTTCTTTGGATGAAAAGGAAACAAAAAATTTCTCAGTGGTATTTCTTAGGGGTGTTTTGTGGATCACATGACAAAATAACACTGTTTTGAAAAGTTTAAAGTTCTGTGTATTTTTAAGATGTTGTTTAATATAACGGTATTATTGCTACTCTTTTCTTTTGCCTCTCATATTCAACTGAAATCTGAGTTCTTATACTGATCTGGTTATCAAAATCTTTTTTACTAGGGATTATAAAATACTTAAAATTTATTAAGCGAAAGGTTATAGTTCTTTTCATTTTTGTATATTTCTTCCTTTTTTGTCTGTATACATTTTTCAATTTTTAAGGTATAATTCACATACCATAAAATTCATCCTTTTGAAGTGAACAATTCAGTAATTTTCATGTATTCATAGAGTTATGTAACCATCACCTCTGTCTTAATTCTAGAGAATTTTTATCACCCCAGAAAGAAACCCTGTGCCTATGAGCAGTCACTTCTCATTTCCTCCCCCCATATCCCCTGGAAACCACATACGTAAATACTTTGTGCCTCTATGGTTTTTTCCTATTTGGGACATTTCATGTAAATGGGATTATACACTCTGTGGTCTTTTGTATCTGATTTATTTCACTTAGTATGTTCATCCTGTATGTAACATGTACTAGTACTGTATTGCTTTTTATAGCTGAATAAAATTCTGCTATAAGGATATACTATTTTGTTTCCCCATTCATTAGTTGATGGACATTTGGATTGTTACCGCTTTTTGTCTGTAATGAATAATGCTGTTATGGATGTTTGTGTTCAAGGTTTTATGTGGACATATATTCTCATTTCTTTTGGGCATATACCCAGAAATGTAATCTCTGGGTCATATTGTAACTTTATGTTTAATTTTTGGAGGAACTGCCAAACTGTTGTTCAAAGCAGCTGCACCATTTTACATACTCACCAGCAATGGGAATAGCACAAAGGTTCCAGTTTCTCCGCATACTTGCCAACAATTATTATTATTGTCAGTCTTTCTTATTATAGCCATCTTACTGAATGTTAAGTAGTATCTTATTGTCATTTTTATTTGCATTTCCCTAATGACCACTACATTGTTAATAATTTTGTCCTTGTTAAAATCATGGTAGTATCAGTAGTCTTAGAGTTTATAACCTTGTTGTCTGTTGCTTGGGTAGAAAAAAGAAGAAATCTAATCTTTTCATATTGTTTGACAGTTTACCAGGCATTGTCACATCTATTATCTTTTTTTTCCTTAATCCTCACCAGGGGATATGTTTTTTTTTTTTTTAATTGATTTAGAGAGAGAGGAAGGGGTTAGGGGTAGGGAGAGAGAGAGAAACATGGATTGGTTGTTTCCTGCACACACCCTGGCTGGGGATTGAACCCACAGCCTAGGTATATGCTCTGACTGGGAATTGAACCCACAAACTTTTGGTGTACAGGATGATGCTCCAACTAACTGAACCACCTGGCCAAGGCTCACATTTATTCTCTTATTTGATTCCTTTAAAAATATTGTGAAATAGGGCAGAGATTACTTTTATTTTATGAATGGGGAAACTGACTGCAGTGCCAGGGTTTGTCCTGCCTCACACAGCTATAATGGAGTACTTCCCAAAGCTACATCTTTCACCTCTCATCTCCTCTATCCTCCATGTCATGTTGCCATGTTGAGGAGCTTCTTGGTTTATGTTCAGGGTGACTCAGACATTTTTTTTTTGGTTGCCTTACAGTTGTAGACCCAACATGTCACAACTTTATGATCCATGACTCTTGTAACTTTTGTATATTTATTATTAGCTGCCATAGTAATGACATTTTTTTTTCATGCATTTTTACTTGTTCTCCAACTTTCCCTTATATTTGGATAACTGTCTTCCAGATCTTTCTAGCTCACCCCCAGGGCCTTATGGGCAAGAAATGTATGTATTTCGATCTGAGGAGAGATTAAAATCCCCACCCATCTTGCCTCCTCACCTTCTTCAAGTTATTCTTAACAAGGACACTAATATTTCTGTGAGTATCCTGAGAGCATTGCTGGGGCATCTTGGGGTCACTAGGACCATTTGAATTAAAAGTTTAGTAGTCCTAGAGGTTTGGATTATTACAAGTGTGTGCATATGTGTATATGGTCTGTCCAGAAGGTACCAGCCATGTAATATGAAAAAGAGAGACATTCATTGAAGATGATACAAGATACAAGAAACACTGTACATAGAACAGTGACACCTCAGTCCCCTTCAAAGTAGGCACCTTGGGACCTCACACAGTTCTCCCAGTCAGCATCAGCTGCCCATCATATTTTCCTGAATCTCAGTGATAGTTTCAAATCTCTTCCCTTCAAAGGTCATTTTACTTTTGGGAAAAGCCAGGAGTCACAGGATACCAAATCTGGGCTGTAAGGGGGCTGAGTCATCATTAACAATGCTGGACTTTTTCTGGACAAACTGTCTATATCTATACCTATATCTATACCATTTACATATGGAAAAAGTCAAGGCATTAATATAATAAGAATGGTTTGCACAACATGGATGTAACCTGGCAGCCAAGGAGTGTGGACTGGAATGGACATGCATGAACAATGACAACTATATTAGTGGGGGCAGTAGATGCTCTTGAGTGAGCATATATACTATGTGGCCATTGCATTCAAAATGACTGAATAGAGCAACGACTCTGCATCAGATTTTGCATTAAATTTGGAAACTCTGTGGAAACTATTTGGATAATTCAGAAGGCCACAGCTATGGGCAACTGGCAATTGGCTGTTTCATCACAACATACCCACTCATGTATCACATCTTGTGCAGAGTTTTTTGGTGAAACATACAATCACTCAGGTGACTCAGCCTACCTACAGCCCAAATTTGGCACCCTGTGACTTCTAGCTTTTCCCAAAACTAAAATCATCTTTGAAAGGGAAAAGATTTCAGACTGTTGTTGAGATAACATGATGGGGCAGCTGATGGTGACTGGGAGAACTGTGTGAGGTCCCAAGGTGCCTACTTTGAAGGGGACTGAGGCGTCATTGTTCTGTGTACAATGTTTCTTGTATCTTGTATCTGCTTCAATGAATGTCTCCATTTTTCATAGTACATGGCTGGGTACCTTCTGGACAGATCGTGTGTGTGTGTGTGTGTGTGGTGTGATCATTATGAAGTCTGAGTTGTGAGTTTTCCAGGTACTGATGTCAAAATTCATAGTTTCTTTCTGGTCCAAATAATTCAGGCCCAGAGCTATGGATTATGAGAACCGGTTGTGGGGATTTGTATTCCAACACAAGATAAGGAATGTTTATCATTTGAAGGTATAGAAAAGAAGTATAAGGGTTTTTTCTTTAAAAAAAAATAATCTGTGTCTATAGTCAGTTCATTTGATTCCTATTAAGATTACTTTTATCTCTTAACCTGAATCTTCTGTGTGTTATGGGAAAGATTTTTGTCTTAGCTATATTAAGGAAGATGAACAGATGCTGAGGCTTAGAGTTTCTTCCCTGAAAATTCCCCAGAATTTTCCTGATTTCCTGTAATGAGAATGTATTATAGATATATACAAGGGTAAGTTCAGTATTTAAAAGAAATAATATGTACTAGTTTAGTTTCTCATCAATCCCAAAGGGCTTGGAAGAAGAGTAAAGTGCTTGGTTTAAGACTGTGCATTCACTCCATTCATGATTTTTTGTTCTCTCTTAGTGTGACCCAGCCTTGCTCCCTGAGCCCAATCATGTTATGCTAAACCATCTCTATGCGTTGTCCATTAAGGTAAGTGGTGGGGCTGGCTCTTCACAGAGCTCCTCTAAATGGGAGGGAAAGGTAGCATGTTCTCCAGTGGTTACTTGTTCTGCTACTTCACTGAAGCTGAGTCTGGTAGTAATGGTCAAATTATGGAGAGCTTTTTTTAACTAGTGGGTGTTTTTATTTTTATTTATTTTTTTTAAATCTTAGTCTCAAAAAGCTTCTGCACAACAAAAGAAACCAACAGCAAAAAAAATGGCTACCAACCCAGTGGGAGAAAATATTTGCCAACAACAGCTTCTGATAAGGTGTTAATATCCAAAATATGTAAAGAACTCATGCAACTCAACACTAAACAAACAAGCAATCCAATTAGAAAATGGGCAAAGGACCTGAACAGATACCTCTTCCAAGAAGACATACAAATGGACAACAGATACATGAAAGTGTGTTCAACTTCACTAGCTGTTAGGGAAATGCAAATCAAAGCTACAGAAAGATACCATCTCACACCCTTTAGAATGGCTGTTACCAACAAGATGAGTAATAACAAGTATTGGAGTGGCTGTGGGAAAAAAGGAACCCTTATTCACTGTTTGTGGGAATGCAAACTGATACAGCCATTGTGGAAAACAGTATGGAGGCTCTTCAAAAAATTAAGAATAGAATTACCATATGACCCAGCAATCCCTCTTCTGGGTATCTACCCCCCAAAATGTGAAAACATTTATTTGCAAAGATATATGCACCCCTATGTTCATTGCAGCATTATTCACAGTGGCCAAGATATGGAAACAACCAAAGTGTCCTTCAGTGGATGATTGGATAAAGAAGATGTGGTACCTGTATACAGTGGACATAAGAAAAGATGAAATATTGCCATTTGTGACAACATGGATGGACCTTGAGAATATTATGCTAAGTGAAATGTCAGTAAAAGCTAAGAACCCATATGATATCACTCATTTATGGGATATAAAACTGAAACTCACAGACAACAGTATGGTGGTTACCAGAGGGAAGGGGATTGGGGTGTAGTAAAGGGTAAAGGGGGTCAAATATATGGTGAAGGGAGATCATTTGACTTTGGGTAGTGGGCACACATGCAGTGCAGATCATATAGAAATGTACTCTTTAAACCTACATAATCTTAACCAGCATCACCCCAATAAATTTAATTTTAAAAAGTCTTAGTCTTTGTATCTATGTTCTGGCTAATTGAATTTCCCTGTGATTGAACTTTTTTGCTCCCTGGTTTCTTTATGGGTAGCTATAACCTTTTTACTATCTACTTAATTTTGAATTCATAGCACTAAAATTTCATTTGCAGAAAAAGCAAGTTTAGCTTTCAGTTCAAAGAATGCTTAAATGTGATATTAAGGCTTCCACTTTTTTAAAGGAGGACACAGCTGCTCACAGGTGCCTCAGTCACATATACCTGAGTGAATGTATCTCTTCTATATGTACTACATCTGGGAGAAACATAACCAGATTTGCCATGTCCCCTCCTAGAGTCCTTGGTTTCCCTATGCTTCAGAATCTAGGCGGAAAGTATTTGTTCAATCTAGTAATGTCTTTGTGGCTTGGCTGTTGGCATAAATTTTTATATTGCTCTACAGTTACCTGACTAAGCTGATCATCACCAGAATCACCTGGAAAGTTTGTAAACGTACAGATTCAGAGACTGCATCCTCAGGGATTCTGAATAAGTGCCTCTAGGATGGGCCCTAGTCATCTTTTTAAGCTGCTTGTATTTCTTAGGTGTGCATCAGATAAGGGAAATCACTAAGAGTACTTTCAAAATATATATTACTGAATTTATTTTTTATAATAACCTTGTGTGGTAAGTATTATTTTAACCCTGTTTTATAGATAAAGAAACTAAGGCTCAGAGAAGTTCAGATTGCCAGTAAGTACCAGAGAGAGGACTGAAGTCCATTCCTCCTGTCCTTATTCCATGCTCTTTCCTAGAGATTACTATGCCAGGTCTTTCAAAGTACATCTTTCTCTTGCCTGCTTCTCATTTCTACCAAACCCTTCCTGGAGTTTAACTTTTTACCTGCCTTCATTCTGTCATATTTAGGCTATGATCACTATACTCTGATCACAGAACGTTAATCTGGGAAGCATTCATTGTGGATAAACAATATTGGGGAAAGTAGGAAGATGCACTGGTTTCTCAACTGGATATTCTTGGGTTCTTTGGCATCTCACTTAATTTTGCCTTCTGTAACTGCTCCTTGGCTATCAAGGGATGTGCACAGGCCTGCTGTCTTCTCCTATGGTATACATGTGACCTGTAACAAACCTGGGAAATCGTACCTTATATTTTTCATGCTGATCTTGATTATTGTAATTCACCTTGTCCTTGAACCAGATTGTTTAGGCTGTTTTCCTAGGAAGATTTTGGGGTCCACTGTATTCAAGGATAGAAGAGGATTCCTGAGTCCCCTCTTGATCAGAGAAGACTTTTTAAGTTCATTCTTGGTTTTAAATGGAAATCAGACCTGCTTCAGGACTTGGAAATGGTTTTTTTAAAAGGATCACTGCCCTGTTACCATTGTATTTAAGACTTCCTTCTAGAAGTGTTTGCCAGGATGTTTCTTCCTTTTTGCTTTGCCAGTTTTAAACCCAATATTCAAATTTAAAATTGGGGATGGAGTGAAATGGGAGACTAATATTATTTCAGCACATATTTTGTCAGGTACTATGCCAGATATTTGGATGTAATCATCAGAGCTACCTTAATGGTAGGTGTTATCCTTTAATCATGAGAAAAAAGACGTTTTATAGATATTCAAGGCCACAAATAGTAGGAATCAGAATCTGCTTAAGTTGATTTGATGCCAAAACCATCCTCCTTCTGTAATATCCAACTATGTCTTTAAAAAGTAAGCAACAGTGAAGGACTGATGGCTGGGAAGAACTGTGTACTGCCTGAACTAATGAGTTAGTTGCATGTTTCTTTTCCTTGCAGGACAGTGTGATGGTCCTTAGCGCAACCCATCGCTACAAGAAGAAGTATGTTACTACTCTGCTGTACAAGCCCATCTGAAGAAATCCCTCCTGCCTCCCAGGCTTCAGAAGCATCTCCCTTGCCTACCTGAGACTGGAAGGTTGATTTGCTTGCAGGCTGATAAGTGTGTTTCAGAGCCTCTAAGTAGGATGCTCTGCTTTTGCATTTGATTGAAGATGAGAGCTTTATGAATTCATGGAATTTATTTTAAGTAAAAAGTTACATATATATACATATGGGAAGGAGGTTAATGGAAGCCTCCTAGCTAGATGTATTCTATCTGCCAGTGGTACTCACCAAGAACTGTTTAGGGAAGCTGCAGGAAGAACCTTCATTATAGGAAGCTTTTTTCCTAAAATGAATGGAGAGCAAACTCAGGATCCATGATGGGTGGAGAATCTATCTCTGCTTCCTTGGCTTTCCAGGGAATGGGCTTGTGCCAGAGTCCTGCCTTCCTTATAGCTGCCTGCTTGCAGGGGCGGCTTTTCTTGCATGGTTTTTCTGTATTTCCAGAGTATGTGGCACAATCAGTGTTTTTTATAATACCAGATGCTCCATAAGTACCCCTTCTCATTTCACATTCTTGCTTTGATAAACTCTTTCAAGTCCTATACCTGACCATCCCCTAACAAAAAAATCATTGGGTAAATGGCCCCTTTCAACGGCTGTGTAATATCTGACCCACCTCGGAGACGAAGGCTGTCAGAAAGCCTCCTTTTTGATCCCAGCACAGGCCCAGGGTATCTGTTACCACTTGGCTCAGCATTATAAGAAAGGCAAGAATGCAGGTCTATTTTCTTGTTTGCATCTGATGCCACAGCTTAGGATGATATATTGGCACATTCCCATGGGTTTTCCCACAAGGCTTGGCCCTGTTCCATGTTCTTTTTCAAAGCAGACAACTCTGAAGGTGGTAGGAGTGGACCAGGGAAAATTTGCATCTCTTTCATCCTTGGAAGATTTTATGTGCCTACATTTTTCTTCAGTTAAAAATGCCTTTTCATTAGTCTTAAGAGAATGCATAGAATTCAGGCTCTTGATAAATGATTCCCAAGATTTTCTTCCCTAGTCTAGTCCTCTACAACCTTACATTAATGTGGTTGACCCTGTGCACATTGTTAATTAAATGCTGCTCTAGATACAGATTTATTCAAGCAAATTTGATACATCTAAAAGGTTCCCTTAACTTAAAGATTCATTAGGTCAAGAAGCAAGAAAGTACCCTTGGTGTTTTCAGCCATGAAAAGTAGTGCCTCCTTGCACTAAGTGCTAATAGGATCATTTTGTTCTGCCTCCATTTTAAGAACATGTTTGATGATGAAATGGGGTCAATGACTTACATTTGTGGAATGAAAAGTGGCTATTCAATCCACTCTTGGGGTGCATAGAACATTTTCCAGGTATCTGTGCCTCTTCCATTATGGATAAAGGTGACTCAAACATTTAACACTGAAGGAGGCCAAACTTAATGCCCGAGAAAATGGTAAACTTGATACCTTGCCTGCTAAGATGAGCCCAGCCACACAGAAAGGGCACCCACAGGTCAGTTTAGTTGCCTCCTGCTTTCCCATACAAAACTGACAGAGTTGTCTTCCTGTATGTAGACCTCTTAGATCCTCTTTGTGAGGCAGTAGGGTGTGGGGTTGTTTTGCAGGGAATGCAGATTGCTAAATTCTTTGGTGCTTAATTGCTGAGAGTAAATATTGCTTTAGCCACACAGACCTCTTTCTGAAGCAATAGGCTTTTGTGGAGAACTTACTGTCCCAACCACTTTATGAATGGTATGTCATTTAAAAAATCCAGGCCAAATCCTATTTTAACCAACTCTTAGGATCTACATCATCTTCAGTTAAACTAGATTTTTTTTCTAATACACATTAATAAGTGGCCATTTAGGAGGATTAAAAATCTTGGATGTTGCATAAATGACTTTGTTGTAGACACATTTCTTGTCAACAGTATTGAAATGTAATTACCTGTGTGTTCATGTATTAAAATTTTTATTCCACACAGGCGTATCAGTAGAGTGGGACAGGAAAAGAGATCCCTTCAATTTCTCTCAGGCCAGAGGCTCCATTGAATTGGGTCTGGCTGCAATGACAGTAGGTTTTAGTGATACTGATCTTCACATCTTTCTAATTTGGAAATGGCCAGAGAGTGTCAGCTTCTCCAGTTCTGAGGAAATCTCTCAGCCAGATTTGAAATGGGAATCTACTAGCTGATGTGGAAGGTGACAGGTAGGAAGAACTACAGGATGACTCCTTCAATATTGTTCCTTCTTTATACTGCTAATACACCCCATGGCCCTGAGAAGCCCTATCACACTTTCAGTCTGTCCCCAGGGAACTGCTTTAGAAGGTAGATAGGGAGGGAAGAAGGTAGCCCAAAGTACAACTCAGTCACTCATTCTTTTATATTGGTTAAAGAGGTAGTTTATTTCTGCAGAAGAGAGTTTGGCAGATTTTGAAAATGCATAAAAGCAAGAAAAAAAAGTTTTGGCTTTTTCTGGGGGTGTTGGGGAGTTACAGGAGTTCCAGAGTCAGAAGAGTAAAAAATAGCTCTTGGGACAGTTAACTTTTAAAGAACTGCATCATGGTCTGGGGGTTGTGGGAAAAAGAATGACTTAGCTGAGGAGTAATACTAAGAAAATAAAGCCTCAAGTAACTCAGAACTATGCTTTTTTAAAGTAAATAAATCAGGCATAACATACTGGTGTCCTTGGATCCCATTGTACAGAATTTACTGTATAAAACACCTTTCCTTTTACTCTTGTTCCTGTTCTCTACCCTTTTTTATATTCTGCTTTAACTTCATTTGTCAGGCAGACTTTACCAGGGTCTCAAGTCAAGTATTAACCTAAAGTAAATGTTAGTCATCTTGGTGGTATGGAGAACTTTCAATCATGGTCATTAGCTTGCATGAAGCTAGAATTGAATGGTATTTAATCACTATAGGCAACACCCATGAAGGGCACACTTGGCTTAATAGTGTTGGCTTTTTAAAAAAATGCTTCTATGGTAAAGAAATCCTGTAAAAAAAGAACCCAAGAGAAGTTTCTGAGAGAATCCTATAAACTCTGGCCCACTCACTTCCCTTCAATTATTTCTAGTCTCTTGTAGATCTAATCAATCTGAGATAAAACCTTTGAAAAGTGTCAGTACCCTATGCTGCTAAAATGAAGTTAATTTTGCAAAGGTGTTACTTCAGACTGGGCTTATATTAATCTGGATTATAAATGAGGGAGACATACTAATAATAGAAATCCCTGCTTTTAACTGGGGAAACAGCTTTTAAAATGTTAACCTCAAGTAAAAATGATATGCAGTAGTTGGTATGTGTCTGAAATACATTCTGTTCTCAAAGATTTCTAAATTCTCATGTTCTAGTGATTTGGGCATGGGTTCACTAGCAAATACATAGCTTGTTCCTACACTATTCTGACTCATTCTTAAAGCCAGGTTCTTGCTGTCTTCTTCTAGGGACTACTGATTCCAGTTACCAATGGGATAGAGGACCTGGGAGGGTTACGGGTCAGGGTCTTTTAAAACTCTGGATCTGGGCATTTGTCTGTTCTTAAGCATCAGTCATAATTGGAGCTTGAAGGACTGTGATTTCTGCAATGAACCCTAACTTTTGGAGTCAGAATATTTATCTTTTTAAATTATTTTTTAAAAGGTTTTAAGAAAAAACCCCTTGAGTCTGCTACTTATGAAATCCAATTCTTAGTAATGGAATATCTAGGATTCATATTTGGTTTTGTCTTGATTTGCTTTTCTCAGTCATGCTTTGAAGTGAATAAATTTTGTTAAAAGTTAAAATTTTTATTAGATTCAGCATCATTTGGGGATGAATTAATTGTTTGTAGCACAGTGTTTTTGCAGTAAGACTGACGTGAAATACTAAACACTGGATTTTGTAGTCAGGTTAAATGGTCAAGGGATAACTACCATAAGTATTATATTATGTATTGACCATCTCACTTTTCTATTTCCGTCTTCCGAGCATTTAACCTTACCCAGGTCTGGGTTTTAGAACAGCTGAGCTCACTCATGTTATTAGGCCTAATAACCTCACTGGGCCCCATATGTGAGACTTGTTTGAAGTTTAGTAAGTTGGAAGATATTGGTTGTTACTACACTGAAGCATTTTGAATGAGTGAAGCTCTGTTATAGAGGGAAAATAATACTGTAATATGAAGAGAATTAAGATATGTAGGAGTCCTTTAAATGGTGCTTTTTGTATCATTTAGTGCTGACATGCAGAGCTGCTTTTCAATATTTAATAGAAGAGTAGCATTTAAGAATGGATCTTAAAACTTTTGTTCAAATGTAATATGTCACTGTACACTGACGTATCTGAAAATTATGTGATGGAACACATACAGAAATGTGAGTTTTTCCATAAAACTATTGAGTAAAAGTATTACACAGCAGTGTTTGAATTCTTCATTGACTACTAATTACATTATCAAGACCTATTTGCCTTGTTAATCTCAGGACCTAAAGAATGTAACTTGCCATACAGTCACATTTGAATACAGGGAGAAATCATAGGGATAGGACACAAGTGAGATTATCTTTACATCTGCCACTTTTTCTCTTTGTTCCAAGATATGCTGACAGTAACTAGAGAAGTGCAAACCCAGTGGTTTGATTTTCAGCACTTTCTGTGAACTGCACACTTAACCATTCAGGGCTGGATTAGTTTAGGTCCTAGACTAATGTTTTCACCCCTGGCTACACATTCATATAGCCTATGCAGGGTCCATAAAAATATTGAAGCCCAGTCTACTACCTTTACCTGAATTAAATGAAAATCTCTAGTAAGAGGTTCAGGCATAAAGCTGTAAGCTCCCCAGATGAATCTTATATACATCCAGGGATGAGGACCACTGTCATTCTTTCTTTGCCAGATATGTGCTTCACTTTATGAGGAAACATACACTTCATTCTGACAGCAAATCACTCTCAGATGGCTTTGTTCAGGGCCATGATTGTTAATTTTTGTTTTATATCCCTTTGTTTTACAAAGTTTGTGCATAGCTGGCCTCTGGACTTTTCCAAAAACAGCACAGTAAGGCTCCTTTAAGATGGAACAGTTAAAATTCCTTTAGGGAGAGGAGAATGATGTTACAGGAGTGACTGGAGGGTGAGAAGAATAGAGAGTTGAGAGAAGTAGAGATGTATACTACTTAGGTAACAAAGACCTGTACAGAAATAGACCAAAACAGTTAATCTCAAGTGTTAATAGCAGGTCAAGATATGCCTAAAGACTATAGGGAGAGAGGGGTAGATGTCATGTGAACTCAGCCTCTGTCATAGAATATTCTAAATACATACCTCAGTCACTGAAACAAATGACACTAGAATTCTATCAAGGCCCAAACTTCCATTGATTGGTGCATGCTCTTTAAAGCATTTGTATCTTGCTCAGTTGCTAGGAGTCTTTAGTTTTATCCCTTCCGGACCCCCCTACTCCCCAGCATCAACAAATGGTTCAGAGACATTGTCAGTCTCCTTCCCCAGCCTGTGTGGTCACTGTTCATCCAGCAGCACATATGCAGGTCTAGAGTATCACTGCTTTTCCCTAACCTATTCTGTAAAGAACCACTTCACATGGCATAGAATTGCAGCTCAGCCTCCAAATGAAAAACCAGTGGGGAGTGAGTGTCACGCAGAGCCATGCCGACAGAGAGGTTTTCCCATGGGGAATCAGGTTTGCATTGTACCTGGGCTGCTATGAGACTTGCTTTTGCTGAAATTCCCTCACCCTGAATAGAGGCAGCAAGTGCTTACTATTACTTCCTAAAATCTGAGCTAGGTTTAGCTCACACCCCAAGTATGGAGTGTGACCAGTTCAATCACTTTTCCCCTTAGTCTGCAACATTCTTCTCTTTGAAGTAATTACAGCATTCTTTCCTTTGTTATGTATAAAAGGTAGTCCCCTGCAGTGAACCTGTGCATAGTAAGTGAGGACTACTCTCCATGTAAGGTACCCAGAAAAGCAATAAAAGCCCGTCCAGGCAGGGACTGGGGTTTTTGGCCCTCTCACCTCTCAGAGTGGCCATGCCGTCCCTTTTTCTCCACAGGACTTCTGTTGTTCGTGTGTATTTGTTTTCTAGCAGCCACAACACATGGGTCCTGCAGGCCAGGATCTGCCACACTATTCCTTCACTCCAGGGCACTTACATTGTCTGAAGAGAAACTTCATACTTTTCTACCAGTTAGAATTCTTTAGGCACTTAGGTGTGTTCTGAAGGAGACTCCTGTTGAGAATTTTGACTTTCATTGACTTTCCAAGGAGGAGGGGAAGATTCTTTGTCAGAGATCAGAAGACCCAAGGTCAATATACTGTATGATATTTTAATACCTAAAAGTAGGTTCTCACAGACCTATCAACTACTCTTAAACTAATTTCCCTTCATTACAGTTTCCAAAACCCTTCTGCTAGTGATAGCTTATGATGAAAACATCAGGTAAGAATATTGAACAGAGACCCAAGATGGCAGAGGAGTAAGTAGAAGCAACACTAACCTCACAGGACCAGTCTGTAATTACAACTAAATTATAGAAAAATCATCCTGAATAACCAACTGACCACTAGCTGAAAACAAGCCTTATAACCATGGACACCCAAAGGCAGCAGCTGAAGTCTTGGATGGATATTTCAATGGCCAGGGGTTTTACCCTGAGAAGTGTGGGGTCTTAACCCTAAGCTGAGCTCGCCAGCCTGCAGCAACAGAACTGGGAAAGGAACCTAAGTAACATGACTGAAAACCAGCAGAGTTTCTGTCTGCCAAGGAAAATGGCTGGAGACTCAGCTTCTGAAAGGGCCAACGCACAAAATTCCATTTGCAGTCATTTACCCTGGGCTTCAGCAGAGGAAGGACAGAGTGGATTAGAGACACTTGAGGAGAGTCGGGCTGGTAGCTGGAGAGAGCACTGAAGGAACAGCCTACCAAGATCCCTGTGCTGAGTCACTCCCCATACTGCAGGAGCCATCTTTTTCAGGCAGAGCAACCTCCTTCAAGTGGCATCAGCGTGAAGGGAAGCAGTAGTCCTGCCAGCAGGAATTGCTCTGCCCCACCCGTGGTGTTTAAGCCCTGCTGCTGAGGAGTACAACTGGGAGAGTTTTTACTGTTTAGCCCTACAGAAAGCCTGCAGGCAAAGGCAGATTGCTGGGAGCTCTGAGGCTTCAGCTGACCCACCTCCAGGCCTGGTCAGCTGAAAGCCAGCCTTTGTGCACAGGCTGGTTCTTTCTGCACACATCCAGGCCCAGCAGAGGGAGACACACACTGTGAATCACTGATAGCTCCAAACAGGTTGCCCAGAACCAGTCACAGTCATGGTTTGACTTAGGCATGCACCAGAGTCTTGCAGATCTACCTAATACACTGAAACATATACAAACAAGCAGCCAAAATAGGAAGACAAACAGACTCTAAACCAAGTAACAAGAGTATTTTCCAGAAGAAGAACTCGATGAATGGAGGCAAGCAATTTATCAGAGAGCTTACAGTAATGATTATGAGGGTACTCAACAGCATAGAAGAAGACAAAGAAACCATAAAAATGGATGAGTTATAAATAAAGAATGCAATATCTGAAATAAATGATACACTGGAAGGGAAAAACAGTAGGTTAGATGGAGCAGAGGATCAAATCAGTGGATGGGAAAACAAACTAGAAAACACACCCAGGAAGTACAGCAAAAAGAAAAAAGAACTTTAGAAGATGAGAGCTTAAGAAACATTCTGGACAACAGGA